CTGATGATAGCTGGAAGGTTGAAGTGGGTGATAATGGAGGCCTTTTCCAACCTTGGGGGTTCTGTAATTCTGTGTTGCAGTCTGTGTGGTCTGGGGGCTGGTGGGGCTCTGGCATAAGAAATGCCCAGGTACTCAGAAATCCCAGTTGTGAGGGTCCCCTGCCATGGCCAGAGAACCACCTAGGTGGAGAGGCAGCTGGAGCTTGTTCAGTAAAAGGAGAGAAGATGCTAAGGGGGATCTAGCTGCTCTTCCATCTCTACAGCAGGCAATAGACAGTATAGCATTCAGTATCTTAGAGTGGCAGCGTGAAAGAACGAGAGGCAAAGGTTACAGGTTGCATCAAGGAGAGTTATAGCTAAATGCAAGGGAAAAATCCTTCAATTGATGGTGATCAAGCACTGGAGCAAGCTGTCCAAGGTGGCTGTAAACCCTGTCTTCAGAGATGTCCAAAACCTGACAGGAAGCTGAAATGTGTCTGTGAAATGACCTGTCTGCTTGTGATTGAAGGAGTCAGTAAAAAAGCAAGCTGAATTTTGGTTTTATTGGAAGGTTAAGTACATGAGGAGACAGAAAAGAAGGATATTGCTGTTATTTCTGATGCTATTAAAAACAGTTCTGAGGTTTTCTTAACTGCCACCCTTGAGAATTCTGCCATTCTTTCTAGCAGATCTGTAGCCTGCACCTGAAAAGAGTTTTTCTTGCTCCTAGTCTCTTATCTTTTAAAGAGTAAGTTACTGAAGGGAGAATGAATTGATTTTAGCAGTATTTGTTCTTTGCCGATGGTTTTGATTTCTCTTTAGAAATTCATATGTCTTTATAAAATACAGCTCCAGCTGTATTGCTAGATCCAATAATTAAAAAAAAAAAAAAAAAGGTTGGATACTTTTAAAAGTAATAATTTCCTAGGATGCTGTCTGTGCAGCTGCAGTGGTGGGGATGAATTAAGCTGCCTTCCCGGTGTTTCGTAGATCTCAGAAGGATTAAATCCTCCCAGGTGACATCACCTGTTGAACCTTGTGATGCCTTAATGGAGTTATTTTCCCAGGTATTGCAGTTTTGGGTACATGTTAAGAAGATGGGCTGAACTATAGCTGCAACGAAATGCTGATGGCTGAAAGCTCTCTTCATCCAGCACAGGAGACTGTGCGTCAGTTGTTTCAGTATCTGAGGAGTAGGCATTGGACTGAATGACAGTAGCTTAGTCTTACTCTGAGACAGATTGATATGATGTTAATGAGAGGAAAAAATCTGTAGTTGACAACTGGTGTGAGTCTGTCCTGTTGATCTGTTGTCTGAGTTGACTGTTCTGGGTGCTTGGAGCTAGGGCTCCAGTGTAATCATTTCTGCTGTATGGACCTGTATGTGTGTCGGCCCCAGCTTACTGCAGGAAGCTCAGCTGAAGATGCTGACTGCAGAGTGCATGTGAAGGCTAGTCAGGCACACTGTGAGCTTTTTTTCCTGCCTGACATTTACAGGAGAGAGAGCAATGCATGATGTAGTAGTTGCCATGCATGATGCAATGCATGATGTAGTTCTCTGCCATCTGTCTGTCTGTTTTTAATGGTCCTGAACCCCTTGTGTGAAGTGTTTGAGCGTATCGCCTAGATTGGGTTGGTGCAGAAGTGGTCCCTGCATGGGGAAAACAGTGACTGTTGGTAGTCAAAGGAAATAAAGAGTTGTTCAACTGATCGTTGAGAGAGGTGGACATCAAAGTCATTCCAATCAGTGTCTGTTAGGCCGACTCTGGTTTTTGGGTACTTCTGACTGTTGTGTTGTGTCTTGATGAGAAGGAGGAGAGGCCACAGGTGAGTAGGGATAGCAAGTTCTGCCTGTCTGCCAAATACCATTTGCTCCCAGCTTCTGTGCAACAACTGCCACCAGCTATCTATCAGGGCTGCAGTAGCCTAACTCTGTATTTGAGCCAGCGACAGCTGTTTGCTGCTCTCCCAGCTTCTGCAGGAGTAACAGCCCGGCTCTCTGTGCTGGGAGCAACAGTTGTCTCTCCCAGCTTTGCTGTGTAACAACTGCCCGGGTCTCTGCAGCAGGTGCAGGAGGAGCATTTTCAGCAGCAGCTGCCGCCAGATGGGGAGTCAGCTGTTTTCCTGTGATGTGGAGGTAGGCTAAAGCCTTGGCTGGTGAGATGGGGGGGTCATAGAGGTTCTCAAAATCCAGATGCAGCTGTTAGAGCTGCCAAGGTTAGACCACCCTGCAAGGAATTAGAAGAGTGAGTCTACTGCCATGTGCTAAAGCTTTCTGTAAGCATCTCCAGGGTTTGTCTTGGATGCCTGGAACTATCTGCCCTTCAGTTGAATTATTTCCTCAAATGATTACTTTATTTTTCCCTATTTAACAGTGATTCAGATTACTTTGCCAATTAAAAAAAGATAGGCCACTTGGTGGATAGCTCTGAAACTCTGCACGGGTAAGCTCTCCATCAGTAACTAAGGTGATAGCTTGTTTACAGCTTAGCCATGTGAAAAACATTTGGAGGAGAGCTGCAGAGAATTTACTGTGTGCAAATCTAAATCTGGCTGATAGAAACACCTGGTCTGAAAAAGCAAGGTGCTGTGAGAGTTACTTTTTACATTCAGTAGTTTTGTCTTCAAAATCTGTTCTTGTGCATTCAGTAAAAAACAACAGTTCATTCATTTTTCACGTTCATTTTCCTCTTGTGTGGTCTGAAAAACCCAGGAGAGACTGCTCAGTCTCTGCAAAAATGCTATAGCTGCTATGGAGGGCAAAAGTGCTATTTTAGATTTAGAGGAAATCCAGAGAAGGCAAGGCACTCTTCCTAACATTTGCTTCCCCTTTGGCCTTTGGTTAAATTCCTGGATTTCTTTTTGATGTATAAATGTTTGCAAACCAGTAAACGTGGAAGATTTTACCTTTACTGTGATTGTTGGTTTAAGTTTCAGATTTTACTTGGAGGATGTGCTTGTTGTTGCTTAGGTTTAGTACTTTGTGATTTAGTACTTTGCTGGTAGGAATTTTCTGCTGAGATATTTAATGCCTTCTATGAAAATAAATCTGAATAAAAATCAGTTAATCTCTGAATTAAAGTGGAAAAAATTCTCATCGTATTTCTAACTGCTTAATAAGAAAGGCATGCTTTTGCTTTTCAGAGTTTGTATACTTTCCAGAGGTTTGAATTTTTTTTCCTGTTACTGTTAGAATTCAATGTTTTTAATTTTTGCTTGGTTAGAATGAAAGGCATAAGAACGAATGAAACACATGCTTTATGTATTGTAAAGGAGTCAGCCCTGGGATTCTTAGTCTGGTTTCCTGAAGAAGTAATGCATATGAGATCATGGTGCCCAGGTGTCCTCTCAAATAACTTCTGAACCCATTCTTCCAGATTTAATCAAAATAAAACAAGGTAGTGTGGAAATAAGTCCATTTACAAAAAAAAAGAAAAAAGACTTCATAAATATTCTAGTCATTGGAGAAGCTTAAATCAGCTCTTGTAATTAGGAATGAGAGATGAACCCATGAAGAACCAGGCTTTATTAATTTTGTGGCTCACAGGACCTGCTGCTTCCTTATGTGTATCTTCCAGAGGAAGACAAAAGCTGGTGTCAGGCTGTGCTGGGCCTCATCCTGCCCTCCAGGAGCCCTTGAAGTCACGGCTGTCAGTGAGGCCTTGTCTTTGGTGCTTCACCATAAGGAAAATAATTGAGGTTCAAACCAGACGATTTTCTTGAATTGATGGTGCAGGAAACAAACTTTCATTTTTTATTTTTTTAACTTTCTTACTCATCTTTAAACCAGTGATGGAGCGTGGAGGCAGAAATATGTGTTTGACTGCTTGTAGTGTCTGAATCAATTCTTCTCCTCCATGTTGAAATGTTTTTCTGAAGTCGTAATCTGCTGCAACAGATACTTATATTACAGCATGCTAAGGAAGATTGTAAAACATGTTTGTGGTTTACATTAATCAGTAGCTTTCATTCCTCCATTGTTGTAATTCCAAAATGTTTGTTCCTCTTTTATTGGCACCTAACAAAACTGACAAAATTAGTCTGAAAAGTGAAATCTCAAAGTTGTTTTTTAAAATGCCCAGACTTTAAATGTGTTTCACATTGTTGTCAATGGTACCTCAGACTGTCACTTTGGTGAAAGTTTATCCTAGTCAGAGTACATTGCAGCAGAGCTGTCAGGATCACTTTCAGTGTAGCCTGATGGTGTTAAGTACTTGTTTCTGTGCTCCCTTCCTGCCATTTCTCTCTTTTGATGCTTAAAGGAAAGCGATGAGTCTTTGGAATCTGTTCTCCCACTGATTCTGTTCTATTACTGTTAAACTATATTTTAAAAATTCCCTATTCTATGTGATATATAAAAAGAAATTTATATAAAAGTTTTATATAACTGTATGTTGGGACAGAAGGAACACGATCATGGCTGAGATCTTGTGAAAGATGAGTACAGTGCTGGAACAACATTCAGGCATTTTATATGAAAGTAAATGTTTCATTACACAGACTTCATTTTAAAGAGTTTCACAAGGTTCCTCACCTGTACTCGACTGAGCAAAAAGTCTCACTTGCCACCTTTTTCTTCATCTAGCAGTGCTGTGTAACACCTGCAGTGCGTAGGGGTGAAAGGCGTTGGTGGAGGCAGAAGAGTTGGTTCTGGTTGGAGACAAAGCACTCCAACCACCCCAGACTTAGCATTTTAAATATTTTTGTGGTCCCTTTTAAGGGAGCAGGAGTGTTTCAGAATTTCTGATGTAGAATTCTCAGAACACCTTTATGAGACAGCACTGTAGCCCTAATTTTGCAAATAACTACTTTGTCTTGCTTCCTTATGTGGTTTGTTCAAAGTTACACAAGAGTCCTCTGGTGGGAGAGGGAATTATACTCAAATCCGTGGTGTTTAAAGCTCTCCTTGCAGAAATAAAAAACCCTATACATTTCCTGTCATTTACTGAAATTAATTCTAAGTATTAGTGCTTACTTTGATCAATGCTTTTAATTGAGTTTACTGCTTCTTTTTCTTTCTAGGCTTGTACTGGTATAGAAAATATCGATGAAGCTATAACTTTGCTTGAACAAAATAACTGGGATTTAGTGGTAAGTATTCTAAGAGAATGACTTGTCAGATGAACAGTGGTGTGCCATCCTGCTGAGACAGCTATTGTCTTCATTTCAGAGTTGTATGGCTGGGGCAAGCAAGTTATGTGCAGGCTTTTTTTTTTTCTTCTAGTTCTTGCTTGTATCATGACATTGCAAAATAAAGGCTTGGTATAGTTTTCCAGTAGTAACTCTAAGCTATGAAACTGTGACATACCAGAAACCATATGCAAAAGTGTTCATCTAAATTTTAGTCATTAATGTTTTTAAACAGGAAAGCACAACTGTGTGTTGGCAGAATGGTACGATGTGACCTCCTTAGTCACAGTAGTTTGTTGTGACACAGTGTGGGCTGGGCTGTTTTGCAAGTTCAAGTATTTGTTATATGAAGACAAGGAATAGTGTTATGCTTTCTTTCTGGGTTGTAAGGTTCTTAATATGATGCATTGAATCAGTTGGATAGGATTTTGGGGGAATTTGTAAATTGTAAAGTTACATGGATTACAATAAATGATCGCAGGTAATGCTGAATGAGAGAATTATGATGAAAAAGTGTTAAGAACAATAAAGAGGAGTTGTTTTATTGTTTATTTATTTTCTTTTGAGACTCCAGAATGAGCGAAAAGGGGATGAAGTACTTACAGCTATGATAATACCTTTACATTCTTCATCTTATTAGTGATGATTAAATGATCTAGAAGTAAAATGTAGTAGGGAAAGAAGTAATGTCCCAGAAATGCATGCTTAAAAAAGACATGGAAAGTAAGAAAGGAAAAAAGCTTAGGGATGTAAGAGGTACTTCAGGATAGTGTCTGCAAAAGGGGAATGGTAAGTGGCAGAAGAAAAAGGTGGATTGGAGTGGGTAGAAGTGACAAAAATGCCCTAAGCTCCTGTCATTAATAGGACACTGGCTCTCTCTTATTAAGAGCAGACTTCTTGTAGAAAGGGGAGTGGATGCTAAATTATGCAGAAGAGTGAAGAAAGAGAAGATGAAATTTGTAAAAAGACAAGGAGTTTCTATCTTGAGAGAATTAAACATCTTGTTGTTAGACAATGGATTTCAGCATTTCAAAAATCAAAACAGCACATGAAAAAAGCTCACAACTGACGAGAAACCTAGGGACTACTTATTTTAAAAGTGTAGAATGAAACTGTAAAACAATAATCCTTTGTGTGCTTACTGCATCAGTATTATCTGTGTGCTTGTGTTGTGCCTCTCTGCCCTGTGATTCAGTGATCAAGTATGGAACCAGTGCCAAGAAACTGGGGAGGAGGGAATACTTTGTTTTTGATTAAACCAAAAGGTCTTTTTGAAACTTTTCAGCTGAGATGGAAAATGTGAAAATGTATATGCAAGAAGCCTCACACTATAAATATTGTATTTTAGGTAGCTTGAAGAATTTCTTTGTTTGCCCTGATGCAATATTCCTACTGCTTATTTTCTTCATAGTTTGTTGATTTTTTTTTCTGGTCCTGTTAGTAGATTTTAGTACGAGAGTTAAAATGTCACCCATCTCTTTCCTGTAACTTGAGTGAGTGTTGCTGTGTTTTTGCATTTTTTTGGACATGAGGTCTTACCTTTTTAAACAAAACAAAGCAGCAATCCAAGCCTCAGTGAGCTCTAAGGAGCTTTGCAGTTGGACTTGACGATCTTTAAGGTCTTTTCCAACCTGAGTAATTCTATGATTCTTTCTTGGTTTAGTTGCTCTCATTTATTTATTTTTTTTAAAGGCAACCTTTTTTTTTTTTTAAATTAAGGATGCGTATGAATTATTTTTTTCTTTTCATTTGAGAATGGAAACATCAACAACTTTTGAACTTGTAAAGATCCTACTTCTGTCATGTTCACACCTCCCCAGTCTTCATTTACCTCCCTTAGTGTGGGACACATGGAGACATTATCTTCCACTTAGACTAAACAGATTGGATTTAAATTGGAGCTGTGTATGTTTTATGGTGTTGAAATCACATTTGTAACTGTTTAAAGTGATACAGGAAGCTGCCACTTATAAACATTGTACTGCTAGGTTTCAAGTGCTCAAAATCAAATTGGTAATGAGATTGCTGTGGAGGAATTTGCCTGCAGTAACAACAAACAAACTGTTTGATGGGATCATGAAGTCTAATCTTGCCAATAACTGGTTTCCTTCTTTCGCACATGAATTGACCTTTGTTGTGGTCTTCCCCAAATAGCAGTTTACTTTTTTAATGTATTGGAGCTCTGTAACCTATTTACTGGGCTTATTCAAGGCCAAGTGATGAAATGCCACAGATATTCTGTGAAATCTACATGATTGATGTAGATAACAGTGATTTCTTTTAGGTCTTCATCACTATGAAATTGTTCTTCAATTAATAATCCAGTAACTCTTAAGCCTGCTACAAGTGCTGGTTTGTTGCTTCTCGAGTGTTATTCCTCTGAGACCAATCAATTTACAGTAGATTTTAATATTTGAGGAAGCAAAAGTTAGGAATTTCTGTGTGCTGTAAAATTTGATGGCTTAAGAAGTTTTCTCATTCAAAACCTTCTGCTTCGACATTTGGAGATAAGAATGACAATATACATGTATTTTAAACTTTGTATGAAGGGAATAAAAAAGAAATCCCAAGTATGTCCTTTTTGAATTGTTTCTGATAGTATATATTTAAGAGAAATGATCTATTAATGCAGAAATTCCTGATCTGCTTGGCCCTATGTGATATGGACTTTCAGGTATGTGAGGTAACTGCTGTCCTGATATCCTGTACATAAAATCTAGTAAGATCAGATTTTTTTATATGAAGAACAGCATTCTCTGCTTATTTTTTCTACCTTTTTCCATATCAGCATTTCTGTTGTTACTCCTTCAGCTGTTATTTCATTTTTTTTCCCAACAGATATGGTGATGTGGGTACTACTTGGCATAACACTTTAAGAGGAAAGTCAGTTTAATCAAAGCTAAGGTGGGGTTATCCCATGTTCACTTCACTGTAGATGTTGTGTGTATAATAATATATTAAAAGAAAAAACAACCTCACAAAAATCTGTTTTCTATTTAAAATAAACTCTTAAAATGGCCTTTGTGCCTTCCTGCTGTGCTTAGCTTTGTTATTCCGTGTTTGAAGCACAGTATAATTTCAGTGAAACCAGCAGTTTAGTGCACCTGGAAATGTGATGACTTGCAGTTCTTTTCTCACATAGCTTCCAAGAATCAGCTGACAAAAAAAGCATTTCTGTATCTTGGAACAAGAAAATTGTATATTTTGAACATCTGTTTTTAAAAAGCTTCTACTCTCAACTGTAGGGTTTTCTGTTTTCGTTTTGGTGTATAACTTACACAGAAGATTGTTTGGTTTGACTTTAGTTTCTTAATGGAAATATGCATTTAGTTTACACTTTATTCCTGTATTTTTCTCTGTGTGATGTCCTGTGGAAAGAAAAAAGTAAAAAAGTAAGAAGAATTTGAACTGAGAAAAGTGAGAGAGGCTTTGTAATTTTTCTTCCCTGTTTCTGTTGGAAATGCCATTTAAGATGGAATTCCTGGTCGAATGACCATGCACTGCCTCTTGACAGTTAGCAACAGTCCATTATTTATGTCTTTTGCTACTTTCTAAACATTAACTTAGTTCTTTTTTTACACAGTGTAGTAAATCTCAGTACCAGCTGGTAAGAACTAAAACACTGGACATTACTTTTGTCTGTTTTATTTTTCCAACTGATTTGCCCTGCAGAAACATTGATGTATCTCTGTTTTTTAAAAAATTAATTTAAATTAGACTGCACCCAGAAATCAGGAGATTCGTTTGTCATTCGTAGGGCCATTTCTTTTCCTTAAACATGGGGCAGTGCTGTCGTTTGCCTGTCAGCTCATTTTATTCTAAGCTGCCTGCTTTTCAGTGGCTGTGGAACCAGGGCTGCATGTGATGGTGATCCTGTTCATCACATTTACCCCTTCTATCTTGTATTGGTGATCTACTGTTTTCTTGACTTTTGACCACAATACTGACAGTGGTACACGTTTGACAGCACTTACTGTTGGAATGGTGAAGTTGACCATCTGAAGGATTTTGACTGTTAGGCACATGTATGTATCTGTGCTTTTATAACATTTTCTCTGTGTTCACATGAACAATCATGTGGGAACTAGAGGTTTCTATCTTTTTTTTTTTTTTCCAATTTCAAATTTTGTTTTAGACAGATGCCTCCTGTATCTGGGTGTCCTGTCGGATATGCTCAGCTCAGTTAGTTAATTCTTGCTGTTGCTGTATTGAGTAGCCTGGACAGCACTCAGAATGGTGCTTCCAGAAGAGCTGAGGAGGAAGAAAGCTCAGAGGTGACAATGACAAGTACTGCTGGTGGACAGGCTTCCACCTGGTGCTGCCCGTTCTCCAGGAAATACAGGAGTTGCAAGTTTCTTGTGCAGTATTAATCTCTTGTACTAGAAGACAAACTGTGTGTAAGCTTCTGTTTTACGAAGACTTACAGAAGCCCCTTTTGGAAGTCTTTAATTTATTTTACATTACATCAGGATCCCTTTAATTTCTTGTTCTCTGTATTTCCATCTGTTTTGTGGCTTCCAAGTGACATTTCCATATCGTTGAGTAAGCTCATATGAATGCTGTGTATCTTATGGAAGTTCTGTGCAGCAAAGCATTGGCAAAGATGACCAGCTATTCTTAAAGCGTGATTAATAAATCCATTATTATTATTTACTTTTGAATATCTTAATTTCATAGAAAGCAGATGTTTCTTCTCTTTTTGTATGTTTTCTACACTGTAGACTGTGGGATGCTCAGATCTATAGGTAGTTGTAAAGGTGGGATTGCTTTCCATGTAGTGATGTGCACTTCCATCTATTAAGGAAACAAATGCATACAAAGAACTCAACAACTAATACTTAGTGAGACAATTAAGATTCTTAGTTTGCAGAATGCAGAATAAGAGTGTTTCTTTGTCACCTCAGTAATGTGCTTCAAAGAAGGAGGATCACCTCTGGCAGTAATATGTGGCCCAGTTTCTG